GAGAGAGAGAGAGAGAGAGAGAGAGAGAGAGAGAGAGAGAGAGAGAGAGAGAGAGAGAGAGAGAGTTGGCCTGTGAGATAGGTTTGATGAAAAGAGTTGATGCGGCCATAGCCACGGTCTTCTTATGCTGAAGCAAGAATGCAAGGCTGCTTGCCCTCGCCCAATCAGCTCTTCAATCACCGGCATTGCACAAGTAGGCTATGAAACCTATCTGGTCAGAACAGTCTCACCAGACAAGAAGGACCTGTCAGTTATTCCAGATGCTCAAAATTGAGGCTTCCATTGGGTTCCTACTTGAGATATAAATCAGCTGGAGATTCAGGTGGGACGTTTAAGGGGATTTATTGGGGTTATTCGAACTTATTCCGCAATAATTTCCAAAAGTGAAAAGAAAAAACAGCTCTTTGCTCAGTCTACTCCCTCAGCCAACACCTGCCAAACCACAGCCAAACCCAAGCAGCGTAAAGTAGGCCCTAACTGCAGAGCAACGAAAAAAGACAAATTTGGTTTCCAATGACGTCTTGTGTTTGTAGTTCACCTCACCCAGACTCAGACATATGGTCCAGGCAAGATTAAGGCAAACATAAGGCAACCATTCAAACATAAGCAGGGGAAATTTCTTGTAGCTACCATGTGGCTGAATATACGCATGTGATTCTTAAAGGATATCGCATGGGTTCAAATCCCGATCGAAACGTACCCACACTGCCAACACCCCTATACCACAAGACTAGAACAAGAATTTGGGCTGGTCCTTACTACCATACGGGCCATATCAAGGTCTTGTTAGCAAACCAAACAATAGTTGCAAATTGCCATTGAAGTCATTGAAGTTATAACAGTAGTTGCAAATTGCCATTGAAGTCATTGAAGTTATAACAATAGTTGCAAATTGCCATTGAAGTCATTGAAGTTATAACAATAGTCGAACTCCGATACCCTTCAATTATAGAGTAGGCAACTTCGATAGCTACAGGCTGAACAAATACGACCGATTGAATACAAATATTATTATATATTAATATTCGCATATTCTCGAGTATTAATGTTGCCGGAGCTACAAAGACATGGAAGGCGAGTTACCTGCTGGTTGAACTGCTCAAGCAGGGTGCCACCGATAAGCCCAGGCCCAACCACCCCAACAGATACCGGGGTTTTGGACAAGTAGAAGCGTGCATGAACTGCTTTCAAAGCACGTATCCTTTCCTCCTGATCCACAACAACGGTGATGTTGTACTCGGAGCATCCTTGGGCAATGCCCCGAATATTGATGTTAGCCTGCATTGCAGAAGCACACACTTAGTACCTTTGACTTGCAATCCCTATCAAAGGATCAAGTCAACAAAAGAAAATTATGAGAGAAATTCAAGCCTGTGAGCACTACATTCTCTATTCATCATCCCAACTTCGCCAGCTGCAGCCCACACTGCAAAAGTATGCACTTAAAACTTAAAAGTAGTTAGTACACGCGTACAATGATTAGCTGGCCACGCGCTCAGTACGCTTCCAATGATTAGGGGTTGCCAGCCTTAGCCGTCAAGCCAGAACACAAAGGAACAGGTCAACAAAAGAAGGCAAATAAGTGAAAGTTTGTGAGCACTACATGCTCCACTCACGATCCCAGCTACAGCACTACCTTTGCCTGCATTCTCTTGGTCCCTGTCACACCCAGACAACAGCTACATTCAACAGGAATAAACCACACTAATGAAAACGACCATGAAATCACGTAACGAAAGAAGATTACTACATCAAGCAGCTCCAGAATTCAACTCCGACTTCTCCGAAAGGACCCGAATTGATGTTCTTCCAAAACAGTCGCCATACCACGTGGGCCCCTTCTGACCCCCAACACACACGCACAGACACACACACAGAGGGAAAAAAGAGGGCAGAAAAGAAAAGAAAACATCCCATCACTATGGCAATACGGGCCTCCTTCAGCATAAGCTTAAATGTACCAAGGTGCCGACACTCAGTTAAACCACACACACACAGGGAAAAAGAAGGACAGAAAGGAAAGAGAAAACTAGAAGTCGCATCACAATCGCAATATGTGCATCACTCATCATAAGCTTAAACGTACCATCATGCCAACACTCAGTTAAATCACTCATCCCTTTTTCTGGCGAGCCTCTGGGTCCGGGCTGGTTTCGATGGATGGAAGAAACAACTGCAGCTGCTGCATAGACCATCCAATGCACAGCCTTAAAAAATGGAGGCTCTCTGGTAACGACTGCAGCCAACACGGGCAAGTGGTTTGATTCTTTTGTCCTTTTGCTCCATTTCTTTTCTTCTCTCGGCTCAAGATACAATTCCTGCTCTGTCGAGCTTCACTGTACCGCTGTATCCAATTGCTCATGGAAGGCCCATAACCATTTTCCCCTTTCTTTTTCGTCAGGTCTCAGCTATCAGAATGAATGGGCCAATTGATCTCCCAGTTGTCAAACCACACCAGCTCTTCGCATATCACAAACTTATATGCCAGTTTAGGATTAGTTGCCTGCATGCCTACAGAGCGGTTCTACCCATATGAAATAGAAATGTGAGTAAAAGATAGTTGTCTGGGTGTCTAGTGCATACGAAGTGGGAAAAGAAACAAAGAAAGGAAGGGTGGAAGTGTGAGGATTAGCAGGTTAATAGGCTAAAGATGGGCAATGCGGCTTCACCAACAAAATCAGAATGCTGTGGACATTGGATATAAGTCAGAGATGGTCGGTGACCTTTTTTGGCGAATAGGAAAAAAATAAAGAAACGGGGCCAGTGTAGAGGTCTTACACCCACAACACACATGCCCCATATATTCTGGGGGCGCCAATCGGGTTGCCCATCACCGGCAAGCAAAAGTTAGAACAAGCATGGAGAAGAAACAGAAAAGATAGAAACAGAAAAGGAGGAATCCCAATCCTGCCCAGCCCAAGACGCCACCCACAGCGGGCACCGACACCTGCTCTGAGCCTTCTACAGGGAGACACATGCTGGCTGGGAAACATCCCAGCTTTACCCAGACACAGAGCACGGGGGTCCCTAGAAGGGCTCCATTCCTGGCCTGCACCGCAGTAACAGCCTCCAGGCCCCTAGAACCAAGCCAAGTCCCTTCCTAAGACTGTTGCCAACATGCCTACTCCTTCCTACTGCATACCCCACACAACACCCTCATCTACAGTCCCTTTCCATCCTGCCTCCTCATGTGCCACTTCAGCGTCGACTCAGACTCATGAATGCCACCGCTACCTTGGCAACCCCACGCATCATATGTTGCACAGTTCCATTGCTTGTCTTTGTTCTTTCGCAAAAAGGATTGAACCAACCTGAACCCCCTCCAAACTAGCCCCCAATGCTACACCCTACCCGGTCCCCTCCACAAATACGTATACAGAAAAAACGGGAGGAAGATTGCCCACTTGACAACCCATGCAAATCACTTCCAACACCTTTGATCTTTCCCCACAACCCTCAACCCCCGTCTTTTTAAACTGGTTCCATTAACACCACCAAAACCCTCTTTCCACAATGTTACCTTTGCTAGAGCTGTGAAGAAGGTGGCGCTGACACCTGGTGTGCTGGCCATCTTCTGGCCCACTGCTGCCAAGATGCTGCAATTTCTCAGAACCTCCACCTGCCAAGGTTGAATGCCCACAACACACACACACACACACACACACACCTGTCTCTTATACACATCTAGATGTGTATAAGAGACAGGAGAGAGGTGCAAATGAGACTTAAGGGCATACTCATACTAGAGACTCTCCTAGACGCACCTGACCACAATTAGAGTCAGATTACACCCTAAGACAGCAAATAGCTCCTGTCACACAAAAGAGGATCTTGATCTCACACTCACACTCATGCCACTGGAGGGCTGGGTGTGAGCAACAAAACCAATTGCAGCTCAAGTCCAAACTTTGCTGAGGAATCATCATCAAGGTTGGACCACCCACCGGCCATAGCATCTCTCACATAAGTGCATTCAGCCGCAGGTCAGCACATAGACCACAGAGCAAATGAGAAGGCTGATTTGAGACGGCTGCAGCTGCTCCACATTCTCCTCCAATTCCTCTTATTAACAAACCTTTGCAAACCAACTGCAACATCTTAGCAAAATCATGAAAGCCTTGCAACTGTCTTCCCTTTGAAAGAAAAAATGGGTTAACTGGGCAATCGAGAATGGATCCTTCTGGTACAATACAAAGCAAACCTCTTTCTTTTTTTTTTAACGAATAAATCCTCCTGTCCTTCGGGACATCCATTAAAATTGGAACGATACAGAGAAGATTAACATGGCCCCTACACACATGCATCAAGAAATGGTGCCCCCCCCCCCCAAAAAAAAAAAAGGAATAGATCCTCTTTCAGGGGGATAGAGTTAATCTTCGCAGGGTTTCCTGCTTCTCTCCCTGTGGCCTTTTCTGCCATTCTGCTGTCAGCTGCGGGAAAGATGTCAGGTTTTCTGTCTGTGGTTTGTCTGTGTAGTGCCAGATCCACTCAAGTTGTCCAGATTTAAAGGATTTCACGCTGCAGACCCCTGAAAGCCGGCACCAAATCCCCATCCAGAAGGTTCTTAAGTCCCAAGTCCCAATGCCATGTGGGGTAGGTCCGATAGGCCTGCAATGACTTGCTGATTCTGCAGCCTGCAACCGGTCGACCAGAGGCTGTAACATAAGTAGGTTGGATTTGTAATTTTGTTTGGCTGAGGGCTACCCGAGATATCTGACTGTAAAGGAAATTCGTGAGGGACATATCTGCAAATTTGGGAAAAAATATAGGCCCGTACTAACTCAAATTCCTACAGCTACCATAACTGCGAATAGCAGACCCGGGCTACCACTAGGACAGACAGGCCGCAAGGCCTAAACTGTTAGACTGGTCCTATAGCCTATAGCACTGGTCGGTCCTAGTGGGTAGGGAGAGGCCCTGGAAGCCGAAACGGAAACGGTACCGGTCGGTCCAGTCAGTCCGGTCTAGGTCGAGTTTAGGCTAGAGTAGTTCTATGAATAGATTGTAGACGTCTGTTTGGGGACTTTTGGCAGTTGGTACCGTGCACATCGCGGGACGCAACGAGTGAACTGGAGTGGTACAGCTTCAGCGTTGAAGGAGACAGACATGTCGGCCATAGCTGGGACCTTCGCTGTTCTCTGACAGCATGTGGGGCTGTCCAGAGGTCTGGGCTATCTGAGGTCTGCTGGGAGCAGGAGAAGTCGGTACCCTGCTGAACCCTCCTCAGGAGTAGGGTTTCAGGGTAGTGGCGCTGCAGCCATAGCTGCAGCTTGCATCCTCAGAGATCATCTTTGTCAGGAGAGGTGGCGCTGCTGAAGATCTTCACCTGGGAGGCCTTCTGGCACTTCATCATCATCAGAGCCTGTGGCACTGGTCTTCTTCTTCATCCTCTGAGAGGCACTTGGCCTCAGAGGCCTGTTTCATGGTGGTGCTTCCCTCTGGAGGCAGTATCTGGGTGGCGCTTGTTGTTTCAGGGACTCAGGGGTAGTGATAGTGGTTATTCAGGGTTGGGGGAAGACGCGCTGCTCATTTCTGAGCAGCGCACCATGGTTCTGGGGCAATTCTGACAAAACGATGTTCCGAGTTTAATAAACAGTATTGCTACTGTGTGTGGACTATCTTTGTTTCATTGTTTCCTGGATGTGATCTACTCGGCTTTCCTTTGTGACTGGTGCGAGTGTTGGTCTTTTGACAACAAGCAACCAGGTTCATAACAGGCCAGTGAAGCGTCGTAGGTCCAAGTCGGGAAACATCCAGAAAAGTCAGGTCGTCGTACAGCAGTCCGGTACCGATAGAAAGTCTACAGGCTGAGTCGTTGTACAGCCAGTCCAGTACCCCACAGAAAGGTCTGGAAAGTCCAGTCCAGTCCCCGAGTCCACAAAAATTGCAGCAAGTCCCAGGAAAGTCCTGGACGCTTCCAGACCAACAAAGTGATTGCAGCAGGCAGGCCATGGCTGACTGGTATCGGTCCGAGGCAGGCCAAGCCACGACAAGTTCTATATTTGGCCGCTACAGTGCAGCGGCTCAACAGTTGTTAATTCATGAAGTTGCGGAAGCGCTGCTGCTGCTTGTGTGACCAAGCGACTTGGGCAAGACAATGCTCGAAGAAGGGTGCATCGACGACAGCCGTAGCTACGGTAGTGTTAGGGAAGCAAGGCTGCCATAGCCGCCAAGGTCTAAGTCTGAACTGAGTGGGTGTACTCAGGGCACGATCTAAGGAGAGAGAGAGAGAGAGAGAGAGAGAGAGAGAGAGAGAGAGAGAGAGAGAGAGAGAGAGAGAGAGAGAGAGAGAGAGAGAGAGAGAGAGAGAGAGAGAGAGAGAGAGAGAGAGAGAGAGAGAGAGAGAGAGAGAGAGAGAGACTGAGGTTGAGTGATACAAGGCCAGAAAGAGATAGGGAGCAAAGAGTGACGGGTAGACAGCTACATTCCTGAATCGAGGCTGAGTCTGTGTGAGCGGCAGAGGCCGCAAGAGACCTGAACACGTTCTTTGTATAATAAAGAGAGTTTGCATATCAATCTCTCGTGAGACTCTTGTGTTGCGGCTATCGGTTCCAAGTGTGAGCACTCATATGGATGCTCATTGCATGTGTGTGCGAGGTTGAAGGTGATTGACTTGCGAATAATTGCACTGGTACCAGAGCTGGATCCCGCTACATCCGCTTGGAGAAGCAGCGCTGGCAAGGGATAAGGCCGGCGGGTGAAGAAAAAATAAAAAAGAAGGGGAACATCGGGGTTTGAAGTTGAGTGAAGTCCGAAGACGTACGAGTGGCACACATACCTGCGAGCGAGGAGCTTCATCAAGATTAGTGAAGTGCTTCTTGCACTGACCCTTGTCTTTCATGCAAATCTACTTTTGTTTTGTCTCGGTATCTTCCCTGTACTTTCCTGGAGGCCTCTGCTGCAATCAGTCATTTCTGTTTTTGTCAACTGGTCGCACTTCGTCTTTGCTGCTCGAGTCTTTGAGTCTGTCTTATGTGTTGAGGATGCATGTTGACTGAACCCATTAGCTGGATGAATCACCCCTAAAGAAGGGGACGTGGGCATGAGTGGCGGGTGCTCGTAAAACAACCCGGCTAGCCTAATGACCGTACTGATCGGCACGGCCCTGAACCAGAGCTGATGCAGTGAAGGGAGCAGGTCGCTAGGTAGATGCTCGGTAGCTGGATGTATCACTCGAGAGTATGGAGCATGGGCACGAGTGGCGAGCGCTCGTAAAACAACCCATCTAGCCTTAAGACCGGTACTGACCGGTATGCGACCGAGTCGGTGCTGACACAGTGAGGGGCTTGACGTCCTGTTTGCATCTGGTGGCCATGACGTCCTGTTTGCGTCGTTAAATATAGGTCCTTGTTGGCAGACCTTAAACAGCTGGTTGTCACCAGCTCTCCAGGGGAGTGAAGTGACGAACGTGGGAAGGAAAGTAGAGTTGTAGACCCTGATCTAGGTTAGGACTAGGACCAAGTGTTGAGGTACGTAAGTCTTGAGGGGGTCTACGTGGTGAGGCGACGGAGTTTACCTACTGCGCCCGGATCTCACCATGGATGACTATCCTATGTTCAGTTTCCTGGCCCTCGGCGTGATATGGGGGCCCCTCCACATGTTCTTCCCATTGGGATTCTGCCATGCCTTCCGGTTGGGCGCGGTGTCTAGATCCAGTAGGTCCACGCAGCCGTATACCCCGGAGAAGCAAGCCAAAATTGATACGAAGTTGACAGAACAGAAAGAAAAGAAGGCGGAGAGGTTAAGAAAGGAGGAGGAGGAGATGACAAAGAAAATGGAAAAGGAGAAAAAGAAGTTGGAGCAGCAAAAAAAGTTAGAAGAAAGGATGCACAAGGAGATGGAAGAAGAGGCGAGTGTCAAGGAAGAAGAAATCGAAGTGCTGGAGGAAGAAGACAAGCGGAGAGGAGGGGTAGGACAATACAAAGAGGGGGAGAGCAGCCAGCCACAACAGGACGAAACACATGAGTGGCTGGCAAAATTTGGCTTTTTAAGGAGAGGCTGGTCGACGAAACGGAGGAGGAGTTGGCAGCATTCCGATCCAAGCTGCAGGTTGCAGACCCTCGTGAGAGGCCCTCCTAATACAAGAGTGTGGGAGTGCAATTAATATGAGGATGCAACCGCAGAAGAGAAAAGAATTTGAAGAAGAGGGGAGGCGATCTGACAAAAGTTGAAGGCGAAATACGCAGGAGAAGTCGATGTTAACACCCGGTTAGACCTCCTTACTCGAGCAGTCCTCCACTCCGCTCAGGAGAACACCGCGATCTGCATGACCTTAAGAGTAGAGGCCCACCAGGAAGAAGTCCAGAGCAAGTGGAATAATTATGAGGTGGCAAACCTCCACCAAATAGAACATAAGGCTGGACATGCATGTCGGTTAGAAGATATCCTTGTAAACAAACTCACAGAGGTAGCAGCCCAGATGAAAGTGAAGATCCCTTGGACCTTCATANTTGTAAACAAACTCACAGAGGTAGCAGCCCAGATGAAAGTGAAGATCCCTTGGACCTTCATAGGGGCAAAGGGCAAAAGTTTTGTGCAATGGGAGGCGGCCATCGATACGTACTTGTATAAGTAGTTAATTCCCCACTTTGACAAGGTGTTGATGGCGAGTTCGTGCCTAGGGGGAGATGCTGCAAATTTTTCTGTCTCTGATGAGTGCGGGCTGCAAAACCATGGTGGCGTAGTCGCGACAGACTGACATACCGACATTCTTTAGGGCCTTGAAAGAGCGATTTGAGGACAAAAGACAGACTGACAGACGATGATTCTTTAGGGCCCTGAAAGAGCAATTTAAGGACAAAAAACAGGCCCGGCGGGCTGAGTACCTGCTCCTGAATATAGGTAGACGTCAGTGGAGGAGCGTGTCCGCCCTTAAGTCCACCGTGGACGAGCTGCTACAGTGTCCCGACCATGGTCTCACAGCCAAACAGATTTTGGAGAACTTTGCTTGAGCGTTGCCTAGTCCCCTTAGGTCCCAGTTATACCCCAGGACCAATGAGGAAGGCAAGACCTACAAGTTTAGTAAGGATGCCGTGGAGCAAGCCGGTTTCCTCCAAGAGGCTGAGTTTTGCCACTACTATAAGGAATTTCGGCACTTTCAAAGTTAAGTTGTTCTGACTATGCGGCTGTTGCGGCCTGTGGGAAGGGCGTGGTAGAGGAAGTGTTGCCGAAATTTCTACAGATCGAAATTTTGGAAAGGCACTTTCAAAGTTAAGTTGTTCTGACTATGCGGCTGTTGCGGCCTGTGGGGAAGGGCGTGGTAGAGGCCGCCGAGGTAGAGGAGGCCATGGTAGAGGACTCGCCAGGGCCTGACGGGATAGGCAAAGACTTCAGCAATCCTAGGGGAGGCTGCATGGAACTCTTGCTCCGCTGACAGACTTTGCAAGATTGCCATCAACCAGGCTCCCAGGGCATCCTAAACCTCGAGCAGCATAGCAGCATGGACTTTTTTTTCCTCGTGCTGCTGCGGAAACTTTGGACATGACCTGTCCGTACCTTGGTGACCTCGCTCCCTGCATCTGAAGCAGATGGACAAAGCCTTGGTTGAGATGTTTATTCACTACGCTCTGTCATCCATTGCACTCTGTCTCCAATCACCAGCTTCCATCTGAGAGGAAAGACCTGGGGATCACCAGTCCTGACCTCCAGGATGGCTGTCATAGTCCCACAATGTGGAGCAAGGAATTCCGGCGTATTCCGGCGTTGGCAGAATCCATTTCAGGACTTGTTTGGCAGAATACTGGTTCTCCAGCCTGTTCACCAGGAGCCCATGAAATCCGGGTTCAACATTGTTGAATGGAACCCACAACTGTTCCTTCGTCAGTGACTGTTTGTACACTACTGCAAAAGTTGGGTTCGGGCATTGCCCTTTCTTTTTATAACAGAAAGCTGCATTATTTATCTGTGTTAGTCCCCAGGCGGCCCGGCTGGGGGAAGCTGCAAAAGTTAGGACCGGGCAGGGCCCGGGCAGGGTCCCGGGCGATCCCAGCGCATAATATTTAAAAAAATAGAAAATAAAAAAAATCAAAAAAATCCGAAAAAAAAATATGTTGTGTAAAATTGCAATACAAACGACTTTTGGCTGAGGGCCACCTCGAAATTCCTTGTTAATTTCAAGATAAAAATAAATGAGAAAACATGAGTCCCAAAAGACTGCAAATGTGCCCTTTTAAGCCCTTTAGTCACTGTTTATACCCCCCAACCCCCCCTGGATGACCCATCACCAAAACCGAAGTTAAGACCGGATTATGACTGCTTGGGCCAAGCGCAGTCATGGCCTGAAGTCTTTTTTTTTTGGGGGGGGATCCTTGCCTCTTTTTTGACCCGTCTGGTTTTGCCGGGCGACCCCCCCTCTGCCCAACTGGCCCGGGCGTGCCTGGCCGGACATGCCAGGCCGGGCGACGGCCCAACATAGTTATTTATTATATACTATATAGGGCAAAAGGAATCCCTCCACATCTCAACCCGGAAATCTGGGGCCTTTTTCCTGAGAGGCGGTTGGCCTCTGGCAGAGGACCAAGACCGTATGTAGTTTTCTGCACATGGAGTCGGCCATTGCCCATTTTGTCTTTTTCATTTGGTGATAGTGAATGCTGAACCATTGCAGTTACGCGATTTCATCTCTGCCGCATTGAAGACAACTGCGTGCGGTTCATCTAGTTCAGGAACTTTCCCGTCTGGATATTTCCAGAATGATTTCTTCTTGGCCTCATTCTCTTAAATTGTTCTTAACCGAAGCTGGGTAATGGCCCCGGTAACTCATTTTTTGTATTCTGATAAGGGACACTGGGCCCGGTTCCCAGCCTTGTTGCTCCCCACGAATAGATTGGAGCATCATCTCAAAAACAAAAACAAAAAAAACAAAAAAAGAATGATTTCTTCTTCTCTTCCATCTGTGTTCGTGAATTTTTCAGTTATTTGCTCACCATCAACTTCCATTTTTTCAATCAGAAATTTCAAAGCCTCGTTGTCGATGACATGGGTACTCACTTGTGGAGACTGGGAGTTATGCATCCCAGAGCCTGTGTTTTGCACCATTTGTTCGAAAGAGGCCACATTGCGGCAGTTTCCTGGCTCTTCCATCCTTGTCTATAAGACCTTTGCCATTTTTGATTTTTCCTTCTAGGAGCTGGACTTCTCAAATATTTAGCCCTGTTTGTGCAGAAAATCGAGAGCTACTGCACCGAAGAGAGTGTGGGAGAGATTTCCTCCCCCCCCTCTCATCTTTTCCCTCTTTCCTTTAAAACTAACCTATATTCTTCTCTCAATTTCACCTTTCATTCTCCCTCATCTTTTCCCACTTTCCCTTAAAACTAAGCTATAACTTCCCTCAATTTCACATTTCACTACCCACCTAACACTACTCCTAAGCCTATACAGGGCACCCCTGCAAGCATAGCTACCTCTCACATTTAAGGGGAGGGATATGATAGGATGGGTGTTAGTGTGGTCGAGAAATCAGGGAGAAATGTAAGGGATGAAGGAGAGCAGTGACAGGCCGGCATTAGTGGCTAGGGGATGGCTATGATTGAAGGACCTCAGAGGAAATAGGAATGGTGCCTGATGTTGGGTACTGAGGGTCAGGGCTGCTATTCTGCAATCCGTTTTTTTTAACCAACAGCATTCCAGTTTGACTCGCACACATGTAGGCATACTGATTTCCGCCTCTCTGCAAAAAAAAAATGACGAGGATTTCAGGCTTTTCTTCAGCCAATGTTGCTAAATCGTACACACATGTAACTGTTCGGTGAACAAATCATGAGTTTGAATCCTGTCATTGTCACAATAAGGTTAATGGATATACCCCATTTAGGAAAAACACAATAAAAAACACCATTACTCCAGTTCCCATCCCACACACTTGAGGACATACTGATTTCCTGCTCGATGAAGAATGAAAGCCAGACTATGAGTGTTTGAGCCACAAACCAACCTTTGAAATCCGTCCAGCGCCAAGGGCTTTCTTAAATTTAATCTCCAATGCCTTTGCGACCATTTTCGCCTCTGTCTCAGGCACTGCAAAGCATATGGAATGCTCGCTACTTGCCTGCCACCACGTGATTATGCCGCACACAGTGCCACACACAAAGGGAGCATCAAAGAAGAGAAGCCAAATCAGTCCTGGTGAACAATGCCTTATATGGCAAACCAGTTTGTTCTCAAAGGTAATGGAAGGCAGCATAAATAACCGTAGGGCATCCCAAAACAACACACTGTTATGATCCTGGGTATGAGTGCAAAAATTCAAAGAAAGACAATGACATTCATTTGCAACTGAAATGAAAGAGATTGGAGAGAGAAATAGACAGAACAGGAAGAAGAATAGGGAATGGAAGAAGAAGAAGAAGGAGAAGAACAAGATGAACACAAGCAAGAACCAATGTCACTTCTCCCTCAACTTGCCACCAGCTCCCACCTCCAGCATCTCTCCCAACATCTCTTATTAATTAATATTATTTAACAATAGTAATAAGTATTAATAACAACAACAATGAATGAATGAACCAGAATCAATGTCCGGATCCTCCCCTTACTGTCAGCCACTCAAGATGTCCACCATGGCCATCCTACACCTCTTCTACCACTTGGACAAGTCGGTGGATACGGTGGACCATCCGAGCCCAGCTCCGATGTTCGAAGGACAATGCAAAGCTACTACTTCTCCCACCAGGGCCGCCATGCCACATTCCATCCCCGGAGTCTTCCTCCAAAGTATCTTCCCTACTTCGGGCCTTCCAGGTGCAACGCCAACTAAGAAGATGAAGATGCAGACCACCATCGCCAAAGGAAGATCCCTTCTTCCTTCTCCTCCTCCTGCCTCCTCCTTCCTCAACTCCTCCATAGCCATGTCTTCCTCCACCTCCCACCTTGGTTAACTTCGCCATAGCCGAGATGGGGGCCAAGCTCCACCTTCTTCCTCTACCGAGCGGGACACCAGACCGGTGAGTGCACCAGCAGCCTCACAGCTTGGTGCCCAAAGAAAGAGGCGGAGTGCTTTTCCAGTTCTACACTTATACCAAAGCAGCACTCCTCTGCGGGAACTTTCCAGGGTACCCAGCCTCTTGGCCTACTGGTTACCTCCCTGCATTTGGGAGGGAACACCATTGCAGTCTGACATCCTCCTTCGCAAGCTATGCAGGTACCCGACTTCTAAGCCTACCAGACTTCTAAAATTTTACCCGGCCTACAAAGGTACTACGTTTCGGTCCTATCTGCTACTCTACCTGCTGCTTCATTATTTTGGCATTGGCGGGCCTCCTCTACCCCACTCTACCCGCTGCCTCCGGTACACACACAGCCACAGGTTAGTACCAGACCCGTGGGGCGCTACAGCACACGGACCGTCTCTAGAGGGTCACACACACACACAGCAGGACTCAGACAAACAGCAAGCACGCAGGATATCAGCAAGCACTCAGAATAAACATACACACCCAGTAGAGACAGCACCCTCAGCAGAACACGGAAATCTCATCAAATCAGCCAAAAAACGTGGCAGTACTGAGAAAACAGCACATTTCTCAGTTTGCAATTTTGCAGGTCATTACAAAACAAACAACGAACAAACAAATAAACAGACGGATGGATGGATGGATGGATGGATAGACAGAAAGAGACAGACGGATGGATGGAGTCCAATGGACGGATGGACGGATAGACAGAAAGAGACAGACGGACACAGACAGAGAGACGGACGACCGACATACAGACAGACAGACAGACAGACAAACAAACAAACAAACAAACAAACAAACAAACAAACGAAAAAACAAACAAACAGTTCCACATCTGAGAAGTTCCGAGTATGTACCTCTGGGTCTGGTAATTGTTTCTTGATGATATCCAGTTCTAAAGAAAACACTTGCTCCCACCACTAGCCACCTCCTCCCTATTCTGACAACTGCATACCACACTGGCATGTTACGAATACATTCAATCCTAGAACACGCTAGACATCACTCTCTTGATTTTCTGCTTGATTTTAACACAAAGTCCTCTTTTGTAAACCTGGACACCCGAAACTTGGGATTGATATTCCACTTCATAATTTCATCTCAGAGATCCAGCATTGTTGGATTTTTGCATCTTTGTAGAGCAACATTGCAATTCTTTGCATACTTGGAAATTTGAACAGGAATATGATCGGTAATATGGTAAGCATGTCAACCCGATGACTCTCTCTCTCTCTCTCTCTCTCTCTCTCTCTCTCTCTCNCACACACACACACACACACACACACACACACACACACACACACACACACACACACACACACACAGTGTTTTGAATTTTCACCACAACAGCCCCTATTCCACCCAGATGAACAGATCCAAAATCAAAGCATATTTAATCCTATTACAGACAACAAAAGCCCTCGAGTTCAGACAACCCAACAATCAAACAGTTTCACATCAATAGAAAGCAACATGAACTTCATGAAGTACAATAGCTTGCATGTAAACCCCTTTCTTGAATGTGTTCACATTTGCTTTCTTCGGGGAATCCCTTCCATTTGTTCTTGCAGCACCCCCTTTACAGCGCCTCTCGGGCACAAGGCTCGCCATGTTGATTGTGGTTGAGCGCGAGATGCCCACATCCCCATGTGCCATAACGGCCCACTTGCACACTCTGAATGGAGGCAGAGAAAAGGCAGAGGTATATTCCTGTTCATTTCTTCTCAGATCTTCAACTTATATTTTGTCTGTTCTCATAATGATGCTCATTCGTGTGTGTGTGTGTGTGTGTGTGTTTTAGATTTTCACCACAACAGCCCCTAATCCACCCACAGGAGTAGAACCAAAACCGAAGCAGCTTTAGTCCTAGTGCCGACAACGAAGCACATGTGAGTTGAGCCATTCCACAATGAAACTGTTTTACCTCGATAACGAGTAACATGGAGCAAATTAAATCCGTTGAAATCCCTTTGTCAACTATGTTTACTTCGTCTTTCTTTGGGGTACCCCTTTCATTTGTTCTTGCAGCTCCCCTTTTACTATGCCTCTCACATAGAAGGCTGGCCACGCTGATTGTGGTTGGGCGCCAGTTCCGCCCCCCCCCCCCTTGTGCCTTAACGACACACTTGCACGTTATGAAAGGAGGCAAAGTAAAGGGGGAGGTATATTCCTGTTCATTTTTCTTCAGATCTTCAGCTTATATTTTGTCTGTTCTCTTAATGATGCTGATTCGTATACATTTACTAGTAGTACACAAGGTGAGGGAGGAAGGGAAGGGAGGAACGGCAGGGGTAGGAAGCGGAGTTCTATATGGAGTGAGGGGCAGGGGAGGGAGAAGGGGTAGGGGAGAAAGTGGAGTGGCAAATGACAGAACAGAGATATGATGAACTTCACAGGGTTCTAAATACTCACGGCTGGAGCAGTCTACTCAAGAATGGCTCAAGGGGCCAGTCAGTGTTTGGGTTGCACAAGATTTGCAGTGGAGGAGCGGCTGCTGCCTATGGTAAGTCGCCACCGCTACAAACCGGACAGGACCGCTTCGGGTGTGGACTGTGGAAGCACTGCATCCAATTCTCGCAGTCGCAGTTGCTGAAATGAATGGCACAGCATAAACAGATGGTTGCAGGCTACATGGCTCTTCATGTGTGTCTGGTGTATTTTTGTCATTTGTTTCGCAAAGTGCATTCTTTTAGCTGAGAGATATATTTTGTCACACATCTATGAACTAAAAGAACGCACTTTGCAAAACAATGATAAAAATAAAAATACACAAGACAAACATGAAGAGCACAATAAATTTGAATAAAACCATTCATTTTCTCATTCTGCTTTTAACTCCCCCTTCACCGTGCCTCTCACTTACAAGGCTTACCACGTTGATGAAGTTGAGCGCGAGCAGCCCGCATCCCCGTGTGCCATAACAGCCCACTTGTACGCTGTGAGAAAGTGGCGAAGGGAGAGGGGACAGAGACAGATGCAGAGAGCAGCTAGTTTCTAACAGATGTAGAGGTAAATAGAAAGCGAGTAGGCGCCTTAGTCAATAATGGATCCACCTGTAGTTATATTAGTAGGAAAAGCTTGAAGAAGTTGCATCTTGGGATGAAGGAGCTGACATTGGATGAACTGGTAGATAGCAAATTGGCAGACAACAGGGATGGGAGTAGAAGAATATGTCGAGGGGGTAAGTGCATACTTCTGGTTGGAGGGGGGGAAGAATGTGGAGAAAGTGTTACACTCCCTGACCTTTCTAATGGAGGATAGTCTACCCTTCGACATCTTGCTAGGGACAGAATGGGGAAAGGTCGCAAGGGCCAATGTGAAGATGGGCGAGCACAAGTGTTGGCCGCCCAGTCAAGAAGGTGGGAAAAGAAAGTCGTTATTCCATGAGTCCGAAGTCCAGTCCGCCTTATCTTTTTGTTGCATGAGTGGCCCTGCGTTTGCCAGGCACATAGTCAATAGAGAATGTTGCTGACCAGGTGACTGAAGAGAAGGCTGAAGCGGAAGAAACACCACCCCAGATAGAGTCCTTGTTGAAAGAATTCGCAGATGTGGGGGAAACCCCAACTAGTGTGGTAGACAGGGAGATCAAGCACCGAATTGAGATCGAGCCTGGTAGTAAGATCCCCAAGGTGCCTATTTATCCTATGTCTCCACACGAGCTTAAGGAACTGCGCAAGCAGTTAGATGAGCTCATCCAGAAGGGGAGGATTAAACCAATTTCGTCACCATATGGTGCACCGGCCCTATTTCTGCCTAAGAAAGAAGGAGAACTGCGAATGTGCATAGACTACAGGGGTCTGAACGCCATTACTGTTAAAATTGTTGAACCGCTAGCTCGGATTGACAATCTGTTGGAAAGAGTGCAGGGTTGCAGAACTTGCAGTACTTTTCCAAGATAGACCTGAAGTCGGGATACCATCAGATAGAGGTACAACCCAAAGATCAGAATAAGATCACATTTTGGATGCAATACGGCCACTACGAGTTCGTGGTCACGCCGTTCGGACTAACTACTGCCCCTTCCACATTCCAAACATGTATTAACGACCTGTTTAGAGAATGGTCAAATAGATTTGTTGTAGTGTATTAGATG